TCATTTAAGCCAAACTTACTTTAGGGTTTCAACATTGCATAATTTATGGCATATTTTAGGGCTGACATGATTGAAAAGGGGAAAACACAGATGACGGCTACTGCACTACAGGGTTATACACGACTAAGAAATAAAAAAAAAATATGGGAACATTCCAGGTTGACTAAAGATTTCCTATAAGATTTGTAAAAGTGATCTCACTTTTGACAGCAGTGTGATTATCATGCATGACGATCCAGATAAACACATTCACGGCAGAAAATGGAAAAAAGTAAAACTGTAGTTAAGTTAAAAACAGCATGTCATTGCCTGCTTTTCAGCAAGCCCAGTTTTGGCTTAGCTAAACAAACAGCCTTGGCTGAAGGGATGGGCTGCATTTCCGTCTAAATGTGCGGCTAATTACTTATTCGCTGCTAGTTCGCTAGCTAATGCTCACAGACTCGCTCGTCCTCACAGATACGGATGTTTTAATTTTTTTCTGCATTTCGGTTTCCCACTTTTGTTGTGGCATGGAGAGCTGAAGAAAGCAGCTCATGTTACAGATGTACTCAAACTAATTACTGAATTCATTGTGGTGTTATTCATGCTAAATCTAAAGTATGTATAGACTATTTATCGGCGTATTTATTAAACAGGACAAGAGGAACGCAGGCTTGTGTTCTTGGTTTTATTTATTATTTTTTCAGGAGTGGCACTAGCCATTTACTGAGGGTAAAGACACTGGCATGTGCCACTCAGGAGTGGCACTAGCCATTTACTGAGGGTAAAGGCACTGGCATGTGCCACTCAGGAGTGGCACTAGCCATTTACTGAGGCGAAAGCGATTGGCATGTGCCACTCAGGAGTGGCAATCAGTAGCAGTACTAGCTGCTTATCACACAGTGGACAAAGTTCTAAGGTTTGAAAATAGTTCTTGATTAGCCTACATCACACAGGTAAATGTACCAGTTCAAAGTTTGATCTCAAACGTAAGCAATATTGGTCAACAAATGTATTCAGTAATTCTTGGGAATGTGTTCCTGTTACTAATTTTGGAGTTCCTGAGCTATTGTGTAACATTTATAGTTACAAAGCTACCTCGCCACATTTGCAAGTATTGTACAGTGTTGTTCTCATGGTTTATGGGGTATTTAAAGTTTGAATTATGTGAGTAATCTTAAAGCACGTGCAATGTAAAATAAAAGGAACTGTACTGGTACATTTTTTAAGGTACAATGTAAATTTAACCAATTGTGTACCTTAAATATGCTTTTCCCAGGTAAAGGTTATACATTTGTTCATTTGCATAATCTAAAACAGAACAATAAAATAAAAAAAGCATGGAGACAAGACTGGGTATGTTCAGTCAATACAGTTGCAATAGATTATGCTCCGCAAATAAAAGGTACTCAAGGCGTACCTTGAGGGTACCACCCCTGTGACAGTTCAGTATAAACCCCTGTGTGTTTAAAACATTAAGTTATCCCCACTTTAACTGATGTAACGTTGAGAGCTCTTGACAGTACGGATGAATATAGATCAAGGGGGCAATCAATTAATTTTTTGTCACGTTATGTGATAGTTTCCACTACTGACTCCCTTATGAACAGCATAAGACGGTATTTTCAAAACTTAGCACTTGGTAACATGTAAATATAATTATCTCCCCCACTACCCAGCAAAATGCTGGCCAGCAGTAAAAGGCTAGTGCCACTCCTGAGCGGCACATGCCAGTGCCTTTACCCTCAGTAAATGGCTAGTGCCACTCCTGAAAAAATAATAAATAACATTAAAACCAAGAACACAAGCCTGCGTTCCTCTTGTCCTGTTTAATAAATACGCCGATAAATAGTCTATACATACTTTAGATTTAGCATGAATAACACCACAATGAATTCAGTAATTAGTTTGAGTACATCTGTAACACGAGCTGCTTTCTTCAGCTCTCCGTGCCACAACAAAAGCCCGCAAAGAGTCTATATTCAAGATAGCATTACTGCTATTGTTGCATAGCCTTCGGCTAAAGCGGCTCATTTCGCTTAGAATCGTTCATCCAACAGCACAACCAGTGAACTAACAAAATGACAGACTATCTGCACAGAGTCTTTAGGTCAATATTCCTTCATGACTTTTCCCAGGTTCTGATGGCCGATGGTGGAGCTATGATGTGCTGCTAGTTAGCCGAGTAGCCGCTGTCCAGAGTCTTTGCTTTTCTCACAGGAGCTGTTGGTATGTGCCTGTTTTGAGAGGCACACGCCGTTTCTGTGTGGCAGGTGTCATTGGCGCTCGTTACCAGTTATCGGTGGCAGGTGCCATTCGCTAAGTGGCACATGCCAGTACGTGCCATTTCCGGACGGCGGAGTTGCCACTTCGGGACTGAACCCCCTCTCCTGTTGAGGCTGCTTATTTAATTGATGAAACATTAAAAGCCTTAATTATAGCAACTTTACTAAGAGGACAGCATTCAGTCTTACCTTTAAATTCTTAAAAGTGTTACCGGTGAAGAGTTTATTAGTTCATTAGGTAGCTATATTTTCTTGCTGTAAAGTTGTAAACAAACGACACCAGTAACGTTAGCTAACCTAGTTAGCTACTAGCTACCTCGCCCACGTTGGCTAACGTTATCTTGTAAGCATCGACATTACACGGAGCAAGTAACGTTAGCCAGGTTTGCAGAGAACAGACAAAAGTCTCCTTTTGAACAACTTTATTAATATTTGAGGCCACGGCTGTCCGCAAAATTCCACAAAATGAAAACCTGAATCTCACAATATTACAAAATAAGGTCACCCAACCCCCTTAGGGTGTGCTAAGTTAACCCGCTTACTAGTGTTAACAAGCTAACTTCCAGCTCGCTAAATCGGTCTGAACAAGGCCACTACGCTGACGACTGTTTCACTCGGCAATTCGAATCAGTCGGCTCTGAGTGTTCGCGCAATATACACGCCCAACAGGTGGGTTTAGTATCTCCCTGCTCTCCATGGTCGAGATTTTAAGGCAACATTATGTAACAGTTTTACTTTAAAATCAGCTTCAAAATTATTTTGATGGTACAGTGACTTACAATAGTGAGAACTGGGTCACTCTCATTGCCACGCCGGAACGCCTGCTATAATACTGGTTATGTAAATTTGGAGGAACGGGATGAAACCTATCGCGAGAACTGCGTAACGCTTTACGGCACTACGTCACACACCAAAAACTATGGCTCTTCAATTCGCTATAAAAAGCTGGCTCAGTATTCCCAGTGTGGACATCATGGCTACCAAAAGGCCGAAAGTGGAGAACAGAGATCAAGCAAGAGTAAATCTCGGACTGGCTTTTACTCGTCGGCGATAGCTGAGATAAACGTATGCACAGTTTCACAGCTAACAGAAAAACAACGAAAGTCTGACAGCAGAGTGTACAGCCCTGACAATGTTATTTATGAAAGTAGGCTGTAATCTTACCAGAGTCATTCCTGTCTCACGGGGTTTTGTAGTTAGTTAGCTAGTTTTCCGGATGCCAAAATTCATATAACCTCAGTCCCATTTCAGGCTCGTATGCAAAGAAATAAATTCATTTTACGCCACAAAGTTTGGTCAGTCTTTGTCAGTCTCGCGCCAAGTAAGCCTCGAAAGTTTGCCTCCTGCAATAAAATCCATAAAAGCCCAAGAGACAAAAATACCAATTCTCGCGTAATGCTGCTTTGAAAACTCTTTGAAAGCATCCGTTTTTATCCAACGTGTCTGACATGGCAGATAACGCAGCGGTTTCTAAGTGCTAACTAGGTAATCAGGTTTGATTATAGAGAAACTAACTAATTTATCAATGCTTTGTTATTGGAGGAGAAATCATTTGAATAGGAGTGCAGAATTTCTGTAGCATCAAACTGCGTCCATAGTGGCACCTGGACTGAATGTAAGATTTGTTCATGTGTTGTTTTAGTTTCTGCACCTTTCGCACTGAGTGAAATAGCATTTGTGACGGCAGCGCAGAAGAAAGCATATCGTGGCATTGTTGATCTTGATAAAAGTATGATTTAGGAAATAGAGTGGATGTTTTATGTTTGAAAAAGCCTTGTGCATAAAGATGAGTAATCACTGTATTTTTAGTTTGCTGAAGGAAAAATTGTTCATGACCTGAAATATTTATTGCCAGACTATTGACCGCATTTTTTCTTGTCCCGATTAATGGATGAATCAAAGCAAAAATGGACTGTTTAATCAATTATAGTTTGCAGCCATAGTGCATTTGTAGTATACACAGAGAGTATAGTGTAAATGTGATTTCATGTAATATACTGAGTTTTAAATGATGTAACGGCTTATTTGATAAGCATAATTGTTCTAGAGTGAGGCTAAAAAGCTCATGCCAAAGATTTATTTTGAACTGACTAGGCTTCCAAAGTACAATAGAGAAAAATCCCTAATATTTCAAGTACAGGGGAACCTGCCTTTTAAAACCTATTGATAGAATCCTGCCGAGGGGTTGTGAATCACCCAAACCTGGATGACAGTAGCTAACACTCACAAACACAGTACCTACCTGATCTGCTCCAGCGTTCACATTACCTGTAGACGTTAACATGACGTACTGGATAATGCAAACAAAAACCTTCACTTACTATCCTAAGAGCTAAATACAGCCTGGCCAAACATGAGCTAAGCATCATGGGAACCAAAGTGTGCTCTGACGCCACAATATTATATCCCATGGTCAGCCAGATCAGATGTACTTTTATCTTATTTATTTTTTACTAATGACCAACAATACAAACAGCCATTTTAATTCCTTTAAATGTAATCTTTTATGCTTTTTTTCTCATGTGTGAGTTTCACTACTTAGCATGCACCCAGACCACGCTTCCTGTGTTTTTAAATTTAACTGATGCAATTACAGTTATTTTTTTGAATCCCTGATTGTAGCTTCACTGAACTGAACTCACTTTGGTTCAGTTAGGCTGCGGGAGCTTTACTAGAAATCTTATTTTACATGAAGAAAATAAGGAAATAATTAAGTTCCATTGTTCTCATATACAGACTGATACCCAGATTGCTGAAGAGAGCCAAACACCCTTAAACCCAAAACCTCAAGGTAAAGTCTGACTCTCTCTTTTTTTTTTTCTTAAAAGCATGTGAAGTGTTTGTTTCTCTATCTCTAGACTCCATCTTTCTGTAAAATCTGTGTATATAGAGAGGGGTCGATATGACTTGATTCACTAACACTCTCTCTCTCTCTCTCTCTCTCTCTCTCTCTCTCTCTCTCTCTCTCTCTCTCTCTCTCTCTCTCTCTCTCCACCCCCTCCCCCCCCACCCCCAGTTGTGGTTAGGCCTGGCAGGCACAGAAAGCCCATGTCTGCCACAACGCCACAGAGGGATACTCGGGCAACATGGAAAAGGGTGATCACCGTCCTCTGTGTAGTGGTCATTCTGGCCATCCTGGCTGTGGCTGCATACTTCAGTAAGTATTCTTAATGTTTAATTATACTGTTTTTTTGGTAAAAATTAAATACAACCATAGCCTGACATTTTTATGTAGTTAGTTTTTCCATAAATATTAATCTTAAGACTAGGCTTATGTAAGAGGCTAAGTATCAACACAATCATACAGTAGTGCTAGGAAATTAGCTTCACAATTCTCTAAATTTCTACATAGTTCTGACCTAAAATTTGATCAGATCTTCATCTAAACCATAATAATAGATTATGATAACCATAATAACACAAACAGTTTCATAGTGTGGTTCATTTATTGTAAAAATTGATCCAACATTAAATGTCTTTTTTGGCAAAAGTATGTCAAACTCTAGAATTACCCATTCAGTACAGAGGATAATTAGGGTCAGAAAGTTGAGAATCAGTTGGATGACAATCAAGTGTAAATAAGGAGACCCTGCCCTTTTTATAAAACATCAACCAGAGTTTGCACTACCAGGTCTTCACCACAGACATTTGTGGGTGCACACAATGCCTTAGTCAAAGGAGATTTCTGAGGATCTAGGAAAATAGTTGTTGATGCAGGAAGGCAGGAAGAGTTTACACAACAGTTTCTAAAGAAATTGGAGTCTGTCTATGAACTGAAGCTCAACAGAGGGTGCAAACCTTAATCCAATAATAATGTTGTGGTTGGACCTGAAAGCCCAGAAGCATCACTGAGTTGAAGCAGTTGGTATGGACCAAAATTCCAATTCAATGTGCAGGACGGATCAACAATGACAGGAAAAGTTGGTTAAAGTAATTGCTGCTGAACAGGTTCACACCAGCTACTTGTTTCTGTTTGTTTTATTGGGTTCCCTTTATCTATTAATCCTGATTAAAACATATATTTGTTTAGGCTAGCATATGCTTAGAAGTTTTGTTGGTCATTTTCCCCTGTTTGTAACTGCTGTTATTTTCATTTAGAACATACAGTTTTTGTTTTAAAGTGTTTTATTTATGTTCCTGTGTATTTCACTTTGATATTTTGTAACTAGAATATTACTAAATTTAAAATTTTAGATGTATTAAATATCCTAAATTGTGGTGTCACCAAATGTGTTAAAAGAGAGAAATGGTTTTGATTCTTTCATACTGATTAACACTTTTTTATTATAACATTTACTTTGCTCTTTCTTCTCTTCTTTTCTTCCATCATCACGGCTTAGTCCAACAACTAATTCAAAGTAAGTACTTTTTCTGCTCCAAGTCACTTAAGTTCATTCCACTGGAACAAGCCTGCGATGGCAAACAGGACTGCACAGAAGCAGAAGATGAGTCTACATGTGTGACTCGCTTCATGGCCAACTCCACTTTTCCTAGTAAGACATAATGCAACATACATGTGCACACACTGACAATTACACCTGCAAAGAAGTACACAAATACAGTGTCAGCACAAAGAAAACCTGTGGGTCTAGTTTCAGGGACTATCTTTCTCTCTACACATACAAGATAATATATTTACATATAGTACTTTTGCTAAATATCTATTAATGTTCAAAATCATTACTCCTTGCAGTGAAGTTCAAGATATTTCCCTCTGTCTCCACAGTACGATTGTTCTCCAATCTCTCGGTACTTCAGATATATAGTGCCAGCGAAAACAAGTGGGGAAGTGTATGTGCAGAGGGCTGGACCCAGCAACATGCTCAGGCAGCATGTCAGCAGCTAGGATACACAGTGTGAGTATGGAAATCCCACACCTGTAAACTGCAGAAATGTTAAAGGGTCTATCTAATAGAAAACTTTTTTAAAACTAATTTTTTAACTTAAATCAGAATACACTGAGGGAGAGCCCGCATTAAAGAAACCTATATAAAAATGTAAAATAAGTAAAAAAATCATTACAGATTGCGTGAAAGTGATTGGGAATTAGCTTTACAGTTTATTCCAGCTCACAGATATACAATAAATAAAATCAGTTATTATAAGTTCTGTAAAAGGTTGAGGTTCTTAAAATGTAATCCACTCAACTGAAAGAGTTTGGGACATTATTCATGGGCATAGATTCATAGTCAGAGATGTGATGGAGCAAACATGGGTATATGGAGACATACTGCCAGTGAGGACCTCATGAAAAAGCCTGCATTGATTTTTTTTTTTTTCCATGCAGAAAGGACCATCCCACTTTTGCATACAGGATACAATGATGAGTACTGTAAGAATGATCAGTGATAAAAATGAGGGCATAGTGATAAACTGAGTCCAGAAGCTTAAGTGTATTAAATGTAGACCCTCCTACTGTGTTCTGTGTTAACTCTGTTGTTCTGTGTTAAAATGCATTGTTTAAATCCCCAAATTCACTCCCCAAACCATACTGTTTATATGGATACTAAGCTGCAAAAACTTTCTGTTTTAAATATCTGCAGCAGAGTTCTCAGAGTGAGGATTTTAGTCTGAACTTTACAATTTGGTGCTTTCTTTGAACATGGTGTGCTTTATTTCATTTCTTGTGAGGGGTTAGTCAGTTAGAACAGAGGCTATAGACATGTATCAGTCTTAAAGACATTATACAATAAAAAACAGCCTTAAAATGACAAAAGAGGATGGAAATTGTTATGTAAAAATGTAGTGCATTGGCCCTCTTAAGAAAGACATATGTGAAAGAAGCAATACTGACTGATGCCATTTATCTCTCTTTTTTCTGTCTCATTGTATTGGTCTTTCCCTGTAGCAATCCTTCCTACACTACAGTCCAATTGGATGATGTGTCATCTGAGCTGAAGATGGTTTTCTATGCTGTGGCACCGTACAGTGTGCAGACAATTCAATCCCAGATCTCAAACAAGTCAGTAATTATGCTTAAATTAAATTTCCTGCAGTCTGAACAATACACCATTTACATTATTTTATATACTAAATTAGTGCAATTGTACTCCATGTTAAGACATTTTATTATTGGCTTTGAATCTTGCCTTGTGATTAGTCTATACCACTGTGGCCTATATTAATTTATTTTATACATTAATCTTTTGAATATGAGATGACCCCACCACGTACCATAAATATGCAACACAGTATATGACTCCACATTTCTTTTTCTCTCCTGTAGGAAAACATGCAGCTATGGTTCAGTAGTCACCCTGTCCTGCTCAGGTAAAATGTAAAGATAAAAACACTGAACACATACCGCCCATCAAAGGCTTGGGGACACTTAAAAACAAGTCAATATTTTGGATAGTATATGTGATATTTTTCTGTAATACAATTTATAAATCGTAGTATTGTTTTATATTCATAACGCAATTAATATTTCATATACTATGGATAATATGTACATGCAACATGGATAGACAGAGGTGATCTCAACTTCAACTAGATTGTTTTGGTATGTTCTATGCATTATGATGGAAATTGAACTGTAAAATAAAGTATAATTGTGTATGTAGTACTTACACAGTAACTACCTTTAACCTGTAGATGAATATGGATGAATGAGGCAAAAACAACACACAGGGTTAAGGCAAAAGTGGAAATATATTGTACTAATGCAAGCTAACCAGTGAAACAAGACATTCAACACAGAATATCTACAAAATATGCACGAATATAACAAACGGTTAAGCTGCTAAATTCAAAAAGCAAACAGTTCAGTAATGATTCAAACACAAGAGTTCAGGATAGAAACTAACGTGAGAACTACTGCTCCCATCTATCCCACCGCGCTGACGTCACATGCAGCGACATGCTTGAAAACCAGGAAAAAGTGGAAGTAGGGCACTGGAGTGAACTGTAATCGGACAGTACTCAGTAAGACCCGAAACATACTTCACGCAAGGACCCAAATGCAGACCCTTCGAGCTACGTAGACGGGGTTTCACGCGTAGTTCGCGCGAGCTGCAATTTGAGCGTTGGAACAAGGAGCGCTACGACAGCCAAGCCTGTCCAAGCGCTCTTGTACCGCCAGCATGCTTTCTCAACTGCCATAGCAGACGAGCAGTTGAGTCTCGTTCATAGATGGCTTACATAAACATAAAGATACATTATTGTATTTCCATTCGAACAAAAGAGGTAAAGCAGCTCACTCTCTTCTAACGTCACTTGTCCACGTTTAGCTGTTGGATTAACAGTAGATCCCTCTCTGACTTGTTCTCTGTCGCCCCCCTTTAGTACTGAGTGTTTTAACCGCCTCAGTAACATTAGAACGCACGGTGAGTTTGTACAGAAGGACGGAGCGTTTGCATTAGCGCTGTCCCTGCGTTTGCGTACTGCAATGAGTACCCTGGTTTCGTTGCCTTTGGATTTTTCAGTGGTTCGTTGATATTCTGTGTATAACATGTCTGCTTCTCTGAGGGTGACTATGGTTATAGGTGTGGGTTTGGTTTTGAGACAGGGACATTTTTGTGTCTTTTGTTTACTGGTTTCTTTACGTAAGTTAAGATGGTCATCTTCAGGTAGAATGGAATGTTGCTTGATATGTTGCCTGCGGGTCAAACCTGAATTCTGAAATCCAGATAGTTGCATATTGTAGTTCATTGCTTTAGTACAATACATTTGCATTTTTGCTTTAATCCTGTGTATTATTTTTGCTTCATTCATTCATATTTCACACTGCAACATAGACACCACTTACCATTGCTGTGCGTCATCTTAACATTATGTGTGGTTATGAAGACTATGTATGGTTATACTCTGCATACCACAAAGAAGAGAAAAATCGTTGCTGTAAAGTTGCACTTTATTTTACAGTCCTGTTTCCCTCATATTACAGAGAACTTACCACTAAGGACCATCATGGCATTCTGTTTTTATTTACATTTTGTACAGTGTCCCAACTGTTTTGGAAATCGGTTGTAAAGTGCTATTAGTATTGTAGCTGATTGCTAAAAATCAGTGGGTGTTTTTTGGGTAAAGGTTTGATTGTCTTTGGTCTGGTTTGTAGACTGTGGTCCACGGGCCCCTGAGAGTCGCATAGTGGGAGGACAGAGTGCACTTATTGAGAACTGGCCATGGCAGGTCAGCCTGCAGCAGAATGGGCAGCACACATGTGGAGGCACCCTGGTGTCTCCAAACTGGGTCGTCACAGCAGCCCACTGCTTCACCAGGTGACTGCGTCAAATTTGTCCTTGCGCACACTTGTGTTCCTATATGGGAATACTGTCCTGTGCAAAGGTTTGAATACTTCAGAGTCAAATTACATGTTTTGTTCATTTTCTAGTGTAACAAATTGGAAAAAATACAGCATAAAATATTAAAGGTGCCATGTGTTTTGGACAGGCCGCATTTTATGTTTCATTCCCCCGATATGTTACATTCAGCAAATAAACAGTACTTAAGCATTAAAATGTGCAATGTGTTGTCTATGGAGAATGTGTACTTACTTTTAACTTAGGAAATCAACAAAATATATAATTTGACCAGGGGTACCCAAGCTTCTGTATATGACTGTATAAAAATAATGAACTGTTTTTCTTTTAGCATGTAGCCTGTTGTCATCAATGGTCCGTATGTGTTCATAAGTGCCATTTTAATACATGATATTTATTTTTTTTCATTTGTCGCTGAGTATTTTAGCATGGCTGATAAAGTTATACAAAGGTACTAGCATTGTCTACTCTTCTGGAGCAGTATGGGTGAGGTGAGCAGATGGCGTGTGATGGCAGGCAGGACATACTTGAGCACTCTGGGAGGATCCAGTGTGGACAAGATTATTGTGAATGACAACTACAATGCAGCACGCAATGACTACGACATTGCCATGATGAAACTCAGCAAACCACTCACTTTTGGAGGTAAGGTAGTCAGTATGAAAAAGTTGCATTAGCCACAAAATTATATATAAAAGATTTTATTGTGTTTTATGTCAAATCTTACATAAAATTATATAAAATAGTTCTCATCAATACACACATAATAAATACTTCAATGGTATTTTGCATATGTATTCCATAATTCTCTTATTGTACATTATACATCAGAAAAAAATATATATATTTCAAAGCTAGCATAAATCGTGGCTGTGCAATAGTTTCATTGATTTACAATCAATTACTTATTTCCAGTTGGGACATTTTGTAAAACACAATAAAAACAAAAATCTGTGATTTTTTTTTTTTTTAAATCTCTTGAATTTGTATTTAACTGACAAAAGTACCAAGAAATGACTTGTAATGTTTTAGCTGACCAACTTGATTGTATTTTGTAAATACAAAGAAATTATGAATTTGATGTCTGCACACACTCCGAAAAAAAGTTTATAGAATATTCAAGTTACACCTTTTTTGAAACATTCCACAATAAGCAGGTGAATTGGTAACAGGTAAGGGTATCATGATGTTAAAAGGATGATCCACCAAAGGCCCAGTCTTTTGCAAGCAAAGATTTTACCACTTTGTGCCAAAGTTTGTGAGAGAATCGTCAACAGTTCAAAAAGAACATTTCTCAAGGCAAGATTGCGAAGAATTTAGGTCTTTCACCAACTATTATACACAAAACTGGAAAAAGATTCAGGGAATCTGGACATATCTCAGTCCGTGTAGGGTAAGACTGGACACCACTGTTGAATGTGCATGACCTTTGAGCCCTCAGATGGCATTGCATGAGAAACCATCATCCTACTATGTTAAATATAGCCACATAGGCTCAGGAGTACTTCGGAAAACTGGTGTCACAACAAAGTCTGCCGCTGCATCAAGAAATGCAACCTGAAACTCACAATTTCACAAGGAGGAAGCCATACGTCAATTCTGTGCAGAAGTGCTGCTGAGTTCTCTGGGCCCGAGCTCATCTCAGATGGTCCAAATGACAGTGGAAATGTGTGCTGTGGTCAGATGAGTCCACCTTTCAGCTTGTTTTTGGAAAAAACGGACATCGAATTATCTGTGCCAAAGGCATAAGGGACCATCCAGACTTTTAACAACGAAAGGAGCAAAAGCCAACATCTATCATGATATGGGGGTGCATGGATGAAGATACCATTGACGGGGAGGCGTATATTGGAGTTTTAGAAAGTCACACACTGCCATCAAAACTATGTTTTTTCCCAAGAAGTACATGGTTATTTCAGCAAGACAATGCTAGACCTTATTCTGCACATGCTACAGCAGCATGGCTTCGTGAACACAAACTGTGTTCTTGACTAGCCTTCCTGCAGTCCCAATCTGTCTCATGTTGAAAAATGTATGGTACATCATGAAGAATAGATTCAGACAATGACAGCCACAGACTGGTAAGCAACTACAGTCGTGTCATGCAAGAGGGGCGATAATGTCACTTCCAAAACTGCAACAATTAGTATCTTTAGTTTGCAAATGATTACACAAGTGTAATTAAAAGGAAAGGTAATGTAACACAGTGGTAAACATGCCTCGTCTCAACGTTTTGAGGGAAAACACTGGAAATCTTTTTTCATACTTTTTAATTAGTTAAATAAAGGTTCAAGAGAATTAACAAATCACATTCTTTTTTTTTTCATTGCATTTTGCAAACTGTCCCAACTTTTCCAGAAATGTGATTTGTATGATCATCACTGTGTTTTGCACTTACAAATTAATCTTTCTGTTAATTCTCATTAGCCTCAGTGAAGCCAGTTTGTCTGCCACCTCATAACCTTGGCCTTACAGGAGGAGCTCCTCTGGTAGTGACTGGTTGGGGCAATCTACAGGAGAATGGTATCACATTTACATTTTTTTACTGCCTACTGTGTTCTGCATATATTTCACTTATCTTCTCCTTATTATTCACTGTTATTAATATTTGTGTATGCTAACTTATAAACTTGTCCCTGTTCCATGCATTGCTTATCTTCAAAAAGTCTCCTGTGGCTATTACCAAGTTTTTCAGTTTTCTTCTCTGTATCTCTCTCTCTCATGCAGGCAAGCTGTCGTCAGATTTACAGAAAGCCAGTATACTTCTCATAGACCAAGTTCAGTGTTCTAATCCTGTAGTTTATGGTAATAGCATCACTTTCAGAATGCTTTGTGCTGGCTACCTGGATGGCAAAGTGGATGCATGCCAGGTATACAATTCAATTTAAGTTTGTTGTCATTACACATACTGCATAATGCATTTTTTGACGGCATACATAATGGGTTGATTGTATATAGCAAATTAATAAATGGAATATACAGCTTTATATGTTTTTGGTATGTAAGGTTGATATTATCATTCTGATTGTTGTGACTCTAAATCAGCGTAATATACATACTGCACATTTTGTGTTTTATGTGCTTCAAATTTGATTTCAGATAATGAGCAAAGCTTTTCTGAGATTAGTCAGATGCATCAAGAGCAGAAATATATCAAACATGAAACAATTTGAATCTCTCTCTCTCTCTCTCTCTCACACTCACACACAGGGGGACAGTGGTGGTCCTTTGGTGTATTTCGATAGGCAGTGGATGCTGGTTGGGGTAGTGAGCTGGGGTGTGGGCTGTGCCAGACAGGGCCGGCCCGGTGTTTACACAAACATGGATCAGATGCTGAACTGGGTACACTCAGTCATGGAGGTCAGTGAAAAACTGAACATATTTTTTTTTCATATGAACAGAGAATTCTTTTTTTTTATTTATTTAAACCTGGAAATAAACAACAGAAGGTTTTAGCGTGTTGCAAAAACCAAAATATGGAAATGATCTAACAAGTGAAATAAAGAAGTATTCAAGATTCTACACTACTTCTAGGGCATTATTCAAATTTTAGCAAATTAATGACGCTGGTCATGTTAAGGCCTTTGTACAAAAAGATCTTTTTTTTTTTTTTGTTTGCTTAGTTTTATCCCTTCCATTGATGCTCATGTTCAGACAATTCTCAGGAAGATATGATGAAGTGAAATACTAACATTTGTGTAAATATTTCAGAGAATCTACTCTTTACTCAAATTGCTATGCTGATACTGTAATTCGGATGCAACTGTATCTCAGAGCAACCATTTTGCAACAAACAAATAATAAGCTATACAGTTATGTAAAAAGAAAGCAAAAAAAATAATTTGCATTCAATATGTGGATACAGAGGGCAAACTATTCATTGTCAGCCAATATTCTTATTGTAGCAAAATACACACGCACACACAAACACACATGTCAAAAGACCTTCAAAAATATTTGAGATGGTCATGTTTTGTAGTAGAATACAAAAGTAAAATATTGAAACTGAAACTGAAATTGAAACTTTGTGCCTGTCTCTCTTTATTTAATTATGAAAGCAATGTGTTATTTTATAATAAGAACATACATGTCCAAAAGTTTCTAGACACCTGCTCATCCAGTGTTTCTTCCAAAATCAGGGGTTCACCCCATCTAACTGTTCACTAGTTTTTTGCAAAACTGCTGTGAAGGTTTAGTGAGGTCAGGTACTGATGTTGGATGATAAGTTCTAGATCACAAATGCCGCTTCAACTCACCCTAAATATCACTTTAGTATTAGGCATGGTGACTTAAGGCTCATGTGCAGATTGGGGCTTAAACTGGTTCTGGGAAACTTTAAAATGCACAAACTTTGCTTATAACAGTTACACAGTGTGACTGAAGCATGAACTCAGTCTGATTGTTTCTGGTCTGTTCTTTTCAGCAGAAGTCTTGAGCCAAAGTAGCAGAAATGCATCCTTCAAGAGGACATTGAGTCAGTCATAGGATAAGCTTGCACATAACATCACTGCCCTGGATTGTGTGCAGTCTGGTTTTTAATATTCAGGACTGCCCTCAGTACGCAATAAGGACACAACGATTTACCTGAATGGTTATATAAGTGACTCAATGTATTGTTCATAACTGAATTTGTCCATGTTAAGTGGTGCATTTCATTATGTATCTCAGGGATCCATTTAAGCAGATAGACTGCCATGGCCTTTTTTTAACCCGAAGAAGTGTAAGACTTGAGTCTTCAGTGCCATTTTATGTTCTATTTTACAGGTGTCACACTGGGTTTCTTTCAAGCCACAGCACTGTAGACTTCATCATCCCTCCTCATTAAATACACCTGATTTAACTCATCAGCTAATTAGCAAAGCCTTCTTGAGTTGAATTAATATTGTTAGAAGAACAAAAACACTAATCTCTGCAGAGAGGAACCCAGTTTGATACTCCTGCTATTCAGTGGCTTTTGCACATTCATTGCACCAAAGAATATGTGAGCCATGGATGTTCATTGGAATATCTCTGGTATTGTGTCCCTAATGTTTACTGGTGTTTTTCATTTGCACATCTGTGAATTAGCATTACTTAGTAATGTGTATTAATCACTGGGTTTTGGTTAAAAATGCAATCTATTTTTTGAGTATTTGTGGTCAGGGGGGCCTAAATGACATTCTGGGTGAATAAAGGTTATGCAAAACAAATGTAGAAATGTAGAACTCTTACTAAATTCAGTTCATAGCCAAAATGATAAAACTAACATCTTGACCAACACTTAATACATCACCAAAAAACAGAAGGGGGGCCTCAGCAATGCATACTGGGCATAGCACTGTTTATTCATTGTATGTTTTGTCAGAGATGTATTTTTGAAGGTTCTATTGGGTTAATATCTGAAAGTTGGCTTACTCTTGTAATATTACTAATTGTGTAGCTTTTCATTTGTGTGTGAGGATGGTCATAACTGTGGTTAAACTAAAGAAGCACAACTGATCACATTGTGTTGACTTTCCTTTAAGGTTTGTTGAAAGTCATGAGCATTGCTCTGGCAGTAAACTCTCATTTTGTATGCAACATTAGTGATTCTTTATTCCATTGCGTTTTACTGTAAATAATATAAACCTGAAATTTATTTGTGATATAATTTATTGATGTAAAAACTACACAAATAAATCGTAAAATTTGTAAGAGCAATGTTTAGTATTTCTTCCTTAAGAAATTCTTCAACAGTGTAGTGAGTGTACAGTAGCATAGCGAGATTACAAAAGACAACAACAACTTTTACTTTTATGCAAACATTTATTTCTTATACTATTCCTTTTAGGTTTTTTTTTTTGTACAATCTACTACTGAGGTGCATAGTCATGAAGGTCAAGGAAGATGGTTACAGGACATTGATGGACACAGAGAAAGGTTTGAATAAGTAAGAGTTGCACTTTCCCTTTCTGGAGTATGTTTGTAAGTGAGGTTTGTAAGCATTTTCAGAGGGCTCAAAGACAGTGAAGACAGGATTGAGCCGTTGCTTCATGCAGAAATTTTACGGCTCTATTAGAGGAGCAGCTCAAACAAATATGCTAACATGGCTAACGATGACTGGAAAATAGTGGCCATCAATTAGCTTAGCATGACCTAATTTGCATCATAATAATTGGTGGATATTCGCTCTCTTTCACCGCTAGCAATGTCAGCATTTCTGACCAAAATATTCCTTTAAGAAGGCTGGATCCCTCTTTTTTACAGTTTACAGATGAACTGTGCAATATGGGAATAATTACGGCTCCATGCTACAGGTTACAATTTCGAAGTCACTCTGCAACTGCGTGTAAAATGTATACATGTGAATACTGTGTGTTAAAATCTTTAAACTCTTAAAATTGTGTTATAGGTTCTTTTTTATGTGATGCTCCTGTAAATTAGAGCTTTAGATTGGAACTGCAGTACAACTAGAGAGACGGCAGGGGGCGACAATACTCTCTGTAGTGGAATGTGGAGCACAGAGCAGATCTCACATACTCGTGGCTTGGCAGTGAGAGAAGGAGCCGCTCAGGCAGTAAAATCCAGTTTCACTAATCTCATCATTTTGTCGGCTGAGGTTTGAAAACACTAAGGATCGCGTCACGTCTGGTGAAGATCTTAAAATAAAAGCTCATTCTCTGTCTTTGCACAAAAGAATGCGCTGCAATATAAACAACTGCATTATGCGTTTCCAAATGCTACCGGATAATGTTTAATCTTACAGTAATGTCTGGTTTCTGTTTGCCAAGAAGGTATGTCCACACTTGAATGACTTTTCCATTGCTCTACATTTCTGCTACGCTAAAAACAAATTGAAAGTATAACGTTAGCCTATTTTTTTTCAGATGCGAGCCAAGCATTTTCGTAATTGGAATCTAACAGTACAATTGGCACAAGTGGTGTGATACAGATAACTAAAATGAGAGTATTGAGCTGTTTGGCTGCGTTCTTGTAGAAAGTTAGATTTATTTACATGTCTATAGGCTTTGGAGTGCAGTGAGCCAGTGTGACAGCCAGGCTGATGATGCAGAACTGAGCTCCATGCGATTAACATTCTAGCCGAACACTACAGTTATGCGGGATACTTCTAGCGCAGAGGCTGCCTAATCAGACGTGGCCAGCTGAGCCCAGAGAGAACGCAGCCAGAGAACTTGTAGAGATGAGAATTACCACTCTGCAATGTCTTCCGGGTTTTTCAGACGCTAGAGGGCGCTCCCGAGGGAGTCCAAAATTAATGTGTTGATATGGAGCATTTGAGCAAAATCATAGTTTATAAATGCTTAAACATTTTTAATATAAAAGAATCCAATCATTTCCTGAACACTGAACAGCATAAAACATTTTAACACCGCTATTATATTTTAAGAGCTTTTAAACTCGAGCTATAGGAGTTTAAAAGGCGCCTCATGTATGTTCATCACGTCAGTGAGCGCGAACAGCCAATGAGCTGCTCCGCGCGCCAATCAATCATCACGCTCTAGCAGTAATGCCCGCCTCCTGTTGCCCAAAACCCGTTTGCTGTTGAAAAAAGGAAACATCTAGGTACGTTTTCTTTGCTTTTTTAGTGAAATACATCCTTCTACTTTCTAAAATTAACTAAACGTTCTGGGAAAGTGATTAGAAACTATTTTAACCTTTAGTTTTTAGCGGTTGAGCGCTACTTACTCCCAGTCATTGAGGACTCACTCGCGGGCGCCCTCTGCTGTTTGGCAGTCCTGTTTTTGAAAGTGGCCAGGCTTCTCATAAACCGGCTCTGACGCAGTCACACGAGCTTCTGGTTCAGTTCATGAATACAGGCAAAATCAGCAGAGCCCAGATAATTCGAAACAAATAGCTACACCACAGTCTGTTTAACAGGAACCCGGCCACTTGCTATGCCTCCCATTAACCCCCCCGCCCCTCCTCCAAAAAAAGACTGCAAAACTAGAGGGCGCCCTTAGTTAATGGGGATGAAGGAAGCTCAGTGGCTAAATATATAAACAAATAAACACGTTTCTAGCCATTAATGTAGAAACATCCTTTAATTTGGGAAAGTAGAGGGATGTATTGCCCAAGTGTGTAGCCACGGGCAGGCCTATTGGGATTGATTACAGGCCTACTCAAACGAATGAGAAAAAATATTAATATATATTATGAGTGAAATCTGATTTGTATTCTTTGAGCGCTGTCACTGTATTTTGGCCAGTCAAAATCATTATGCTTTTCATCTCATTTTCTCAGCCGTCCAAACACTGCTAAGCAACCCCTGCTGTCCACCACTGTCTCAAGCTTTTAGTATGTTATTGTGTCCATAACTAGCATTAGGACACTGATGTCCTTGAAAGTTTTTGAAAAGTTTTGTGATATTCAATATGTAAACGGCGATGAGACTAAACAGTAAGCAATGACTGGTTTTCAATTGACCTCACGACATTTTGCCATAATAATAGTAATTTGGCCATAGACGTAACCGCCTGCTATGTTTATCTCTATTTGAGATGCTATCTAACGTTACTTGGAGTAACTTTGACTCCTTGAGATGGTAGCACAGATACCATAAGCTAACATAAAACATAGCTATGATGTGAGAGTTTTGAGGGAGAAATTAACATGCTTATGCTTGTAAAATGCAAACCCCATAATTCCTGTTTTATTTGGACCCCTCATAACATTGCTAGCTAAGCCAGCATGTTTTAGTCTAGTTCCAGTAGCTGCACCTTTTAGGCTAACGTTACAGGCAAGTTGGCTAGTGGTAAATAAGCAATCAAATGAGAAATTAATGGATGTTCAAAGTTGTTGTGTTGTCTTAACTACTCACATTAAAAATAGTCTAATTAACAGAAAAGGTTTTTTTTTTTTTTTGCGAAATGGAACTTACTAAAAAAAATTTAATCATAGTTACGGCCCTGGTACAAGGGTTTGGATTTGAAGTTCCAGCTGCATTCAAAAGATCAAAACGTCCAGGGAATATGAAGACATGTAATAGCGAGATCCCATCTTTAATAGAGTACGTAATTTTCTACCCATTTCCAAAACCAAAAATAAATCCAAAAAAGACATGAATGGTCCAAAAACATTTTTCATGTCCGCCGTAGCCTAGGAATATTTACATGTAGTTTTTCCAATTTGAACTGTTGTTTTACTCAGCTGGCCGATTTGAACTTTTAATTATTCTTTATGATGTCTTCACTGAGCAAAAGTTGTGCCTGTGGTAGATGGACGCATGCTTTATACTGTAGGGTGCTGTTGGTCAATGAAGTTTTGGTTAGATTTATGTGAATCAAGCGTTCTGTTGAAAAGCACTAAAAGCACCAAAAAATATAACAGCAAATTTATACTTTTTTGTGCATTTTATGCTGTTTTATGAAGATGAGTACATTTGTCTGTATAAAATGCATTGACCATTTACACATTACAATTTTGCATTACAGAGTGGCAGTTCTCCTCACTAGAAATTCTCTGGCTACACCACACCAGACAGCAGGCGTCTGACTTAAACCAAAGGGGTTGGGTGACTGGGGAGCTGTGGAATTACATTCAGTTTTTCAAATGAAAGAACAAAGCAGAGTTGGAGCAGCCATCACTTTGAGAGTAATGAATAAAAACAAATGATAAATTAAGTAATAAAAAGGATACTTTCAGTTAAAAGACTATATCAATTCTCCAGAATAAATAGACATGGGTTTGAGACATGCAGGCAACATTTTTTTTTTAACTGTATTGCTTTTCTGGAAAAAGAAAATCATCTTGTCATTCACTTATATGAACTTTATCAAATATGAAGTTACACTAAGCCTATTGTTGCTAAAGCATGCTTAAGCAATTAATTGTAGAAAGTATTCATGTAGTATGTAGTATCATATATTAAAAGCCTAGGCATGCTTAAGCAAATAAAACAATGACAAGAGGATCGACAACAACAAAAGGCTTAGCTATGAAGATGGACAATCTCTACTACTGACTTCTATATTTCTGTTTCTGTCGTTTAAATTTGCTGATCTAAACCTTACACATCATTCACATTCATTGACTTTGCCATTTCTCCATGTGACATTGCATAAAGTTCTGAAATACACATGTTGTGTAACAACAGAGATCATAAAGGTGTTCATGAAAACGAAAACACAGCAGTTCTGAAGTTTTGCAATAGGTGATAACAATTTCTGAAGACATCAACAACAGCAGGGACAGTTAACACCAACCACATCAATACAAAAAAATTGTACATCAGTGCATTTGGCAGACAGAATGGCACCAAACCCTTACAGCAAATGCCAAAACCATTCTGCACAAACAACTGGATGTATTGTAGTGTCTGCATTCTACAAAGAATGTAAAAATCTGCAGTTATTGCTGTCATTTTATAAGACATGAGGTAAATCAGATATCTATGGTGTGCTTTCTTCTAAACAGAAAGCCAAACCCACTCAACCTCAATTCAATAACAAACAAAGACAATAAAAGAAGAAAGATGAAAAAGGATTTAAAATCGCTCTGTCTAAAGCATCTCAAACAACTGAGATTGCCAGAGCCCCTGAAGTGTAATGGAAGACTGCTAAATATGTGCACTTGGTAGCGATAGAGGATATGACAGAGAGAGAGACAGCGAGAGATTATTAGTGTGATACTGTGAGATTAAGGAAGTCTCTTGTTATGATGTTTGTGCCTTAATTTCAGTTTCATTGAAGTCATTCCATGTGACATTCATCATGTCCTGCAATGTAGCAAACATTGCTTATTACTTCCTACATTTCATATAACCTATAATAACATTCTATGTAACACAACTTTTATTTACGTGAGTAAAGTGCCCCAAATTACCCTCCGCTACCAAAATACATATTCATGATATGCTTTTGGAATACAGTGAGAAAACTAGAGGGTTTCATTGCTAGTACAAAGTGACATTCATCAATGGTTGTTTTATGGTAACTTGATAGTTCATACTCTCAGTGGAAGCAAAGAGGTATATTTATAATTTCATGTGGCAGCATGAACTTGAGTGGAAGGATGGGTTAAGAATATTCTTCTGACTCCCAGCTAGCATGGAGCAACATAAATCAAAGGCTACACTCTAAAAAAAATGCAAAGAACTGCACATTTAAAGATACTTGTCACTTGGGCCTCAAAGACTAAGTCAACCATTATACTCACAAGCATAATAAGGATCTAGACCTTGTCAGTTAACACTATTACCATGGCATACCATAGCAAGCCCTTGAAGGTACATTTATGTCACTTGATACATTAGGGATCACAGGTGGTTCCTACAGTATCTTTGTTTCTGACATTGTAACTAGCAACATATCAGCCACCATCATTTTGCTTGTTTGTAACTGTAAAATGGAGTGAAGAGGTCTGCTAAAGGTTGGTTTGTTTCGGAATTTTTTATAAAGAGAAGTTAATGGTGAATTTAGGCTAGTAAGAATTTAATGGTGGTGTACAGTATATTTATTGGCCTGCCACTTCACTTAGACCCCATTAACACATGGTCATTTCATGTGACTGTATCTGGATTTTAACCACATGCATTTACACTTACTGTTGAATGCAAAGTGACTCATTCTGAAATATCTCTGCTGCAGAGAACGTAATATACAAATCAGCACAACAACTCACAACAAACTCCTGTGTTGTTCCTTGTTCCAAGTCTGCTTCTGTTTTTTGTGACCAAAAATAAAAACAAATAGTAGAAATAAAAAAATCTTAATATTCCAGATTTCCAGTATCTGTGTAATTGCACATGACATTTTGTAAGGTCGTTTTTGATTCAGACCCTTCCTGAGCAGACATATCTTATAATGGTGAGCACGCTGAAAGAGTATTCAAAGAGAACTCAGACAAAACTTGGTGAAGAATGCATCTTCTGAGGATGTAACTGAATTTACTAAGTGAATCTATTATTGTCATCATTTCTTTATCAGCATAATGTAGATTTTGTATTTGAGGCCTAAACATCGAGCTGGACCTTCTTTTTGACCTTGTGCATATGATGGTAATGTGTAAATGTGTAAAGACATGACTTGGTCCACAAAATCCAACCTGACAACTTTGAGTTTTAAAAGGCTTTATAGGGTGACTCGCAGCAGTGCACAAACATCATATTTCTGTGGGTTTTTTTTGCTCCTGACTCAGAAATGCTACTTTCAATTTTAACAAATATATATATATATATAAATCTTATATAGTGCAGCTTTAACTAAATGACAGTATAGTTCACTTTAACTCAACCTTGGGTTTACTAACTCACTTTTTTCAGTCAACTAAAAACTTCTGTTTCATACTTAATTGACCAAAATGAGGGGCAGACAGAGCTCAACAGATGAGAATATGACTTCGAGAAGTGAAAAACTTGAGAGCGAGGACAAGGACAACTCTGATGATAAGGAATCAGATGCTGATAACAAAAAAGAGGCAGCAGGATGTTAGTCCTAACAACAATAATGAGGGAGAATCATTGCTTATCAATGCTAATAACTAATAACATTGCTAGCTTAGCAGTTTTTAGTTGTTGTTTAAAAGTTAGGCTTATTTTTAGAAGTTTCTGTGTGTAGATATGTGTTGGGATGTGTGGGACTCACTACTTAAGTTTGCTCCCCTCTACTTTTGTCCATCTGGATAAAATGCATTTTAGAAAAAAGATATTATATATAATGCATGTCTGAGTATCATCCTGATAGTCAAGATGCATGAAATGACCAGGTGTAAACAGGATCATAGATTTATCATTTTTGTGTCAGCATTTGTCAGAAATCCTACTCAGGATTGATGAAGAATGAGGAAGTTCAGGAAACAACAGTGGGTCAAGGGGTCACTGGCATCATGATGCCTGGAAGGTTTACAGTTTCTAACATTTTTACTGGCCATGGTTCTTTAGTATCCCCTGCAGTACACTTTTTAACATTATCTTTTCTCCAACATACATAACTTTCAGTTAATTAACAAGCTCAGTTAATTAACAAGCTCTTCCTGGCTTTACATGGATGTTTTGTGGCAAGGAAAGCACTAAAATGTGTTTTGCAGGGATACACCAAGATCATGACTGAGAAACAGTAGGGGTTTTGACATTGCAAATAACAATTATCTATGACCAAGCCATCTTCTGAGCAGATGTGGTGAGAAGTGAGCATTGAACAGTACATGTATAAAATCATCCACATGCTTTTTTTTTTCTTGTTAAAAAATGCATTGGTTAAATTGTTAAAAGCAGCATCAGTAAGGATCATTCATTTTCTGCAGGGTACTGTATTTTTTTGGGGATTGTCTCACTATACTAAGGGGATTTCTTTATAGGAAGCTCTTTTTCATAGCAGTTAGAAAGCTCCCCAGAAGCAAAGGGAGTTTGAAGCATTTGCAGGCACCTGTGTTTCATCTAAACAAGGATGTTAAACCCAACTGTCTTGGAAGACCATGATACTAATTCAGTTTAGTCATTTCCCAGCTCTAACACATCTATTTCAACTCCTCACATATCCATGCTACACCAACCAGCTTGAGAGCAAACCATTTTAAACTGGAAAGTCAGCGTTATCAGATGACACTAAACAACCTGCACAACAATGAGTGTGTATACATGCACTCAATAATCCGATCATATACAGATTTTATGCAGTTATCCGATTATTGAAATGGTCATGTAAACACCATACTCCGATCCAGAAATCCAATTAAGAAATCCGATTAAGAGAGCTGAATTCGAGCTCAGTAATTATATTTCTCAGTGCATGTAAACTTGTACTTCAATTTCTATCGAATTTCTCAGTCTGCGCATGTGTGAGAACAGACGGTGGATGTCACGAGATGGCAGCAAAACACTTTTGGAGAGGCACTGAAACCAAACATGAAATAAAGGATTTAAATATTCTTCATCTTCTAAATGATGATGTATGTTCATATTTTCAGGTAATTTTCTGGCACGATTTAGTTTGAGTTATGTTACGTCACGTCTTCTTCTGTGAGTTTATTGGCTGGTTGCAAAGTAGAAATCTGATTACTGCCCGACTCATGTAGACCCAGAGTTTCCCATTATCTGATTACTCAAGAGCATATAAACGTGTTGATCAGATTACTGACAAAATCGGATCTGCAGTTATCGGATTATTAAGTGCATGTAAATGCACTCACTGTCTCATTAGGTTAAATGGTATTTTTACCCATGTTCTGTAAAACAGATTCAAGCTTGTGACACTTGCTATAAAAGAATGCAATCGTGGGTGAAGCATGAATAGCCCTTCATGAGCTGAAGCAAGCATGTTAGAGCAAGGAAAATGTTTTACGCTGCAGTGCAATGGACCCCCTTCAGTGTTTGACACTCTTGTTCTAAAGCAAATAAAAAAGAAAGAAAAAAAAGAAGACGAAGAAGAAATAACGAAACAAAGCTGGGCTGGATCTCCCTTTGTAGCTCAGATCTCTCATGAATTCCATCAACATTATTCCCCTCTGTATCCTTAGTACAACTTATTTGACAAATCATATGAAGTGTACTCATGTTGCTCTTCATTGCTTGATCCACACATGCAGACCAGTAAGGGTGAGTGACACTTGGGCCACATGCTTTAGCTGCATGAATCTGTGGTAAACATCCAATCCAAGAGGCACTATTGACTTTGTGTAAATGTATATATCTATTTATTTATTTATTTATTACAGTAAAGTTTGGCTGTGTTTTGTCTTTGAAGAGTGATCCTGGCTTAAGAATACTTGGAATGCTGTTTTAGTGCTTTTTAAATGTTTGTCTTGAACATCATGTTCTTGTGCTGATTAATGAAGTAGAGTGGCAGTTTATTATCAATGGCAGTGTAAGTTATTTGTATGTCACAAACAGATCCGAGCAGAGTACAACACATGCTTGAGTAGTGGCTTGGAAGCAAAACAGCATTAATTCTGAAGAAATTGCTAAGACAATTTTTTTTCAAACTGCTTTTTGATTCAAGCGTTGGCAAAAGGTGTGCGATCCAGCCCAAGCATTATATTCCTCAACTTTTAAGCACAGTCTAAAATATAGTATAATATTTTCACATTTTCTATTTTGCCATAAGATAAAGATAAAACAGTCCATTGTTATAGCTTCCTCACTATATAGTCATTATGCAAGTGTACATATATACATTTGCAGATTTACACACATACACATACTTAAATTCATGCCTTTGGTGATGCTTTGTTGTCTGCTTTGGAACCCGAAAGGCCATTTTCTGTGTTGTCATTCCCTGAAGAGCTCACAAGGCACTCTTTACTGCAAGGGGGAGAGCAGGAACAAGAGAGTGTGAGAAACAGAGTGACAATTTGTACATTGTGGAGGAATGAAGGCACTTAAACAAAGGGCATTGAGTATGTAAAGATTCCAGGGCTCAGCCAAGTTTACTGTAGTATTGTTTTGGCATATCATACCAAAGATTTTTTAAATGAACATGTGAAATGTGCAGTTACTACTTTTTGTTTAATGTGAGGATTGATACACCAACAAAATGTAATGAAACATCTGATAACAGAGAAATATTTAAAAAAATATATATAGCTAAAATATAGCTAAAATATTTTAGATGCTAAATAGCCATTTAGTAGAACTCATCTTCCCTAAAACCAAACAAGAAGCAATTAGTTAAATATAAAATATTTATTTAACCATTTTAAAAACATTTCTATGTACACTGCAAAAATAATTTGGAGTTTTAATTTAAAAAGAAAGTAACTTGGCTTCTTAAAATTTAATTTTTTTTTGTTCTTCATATAACGAGTTAACAGAATGTAACACATTGTTCTGCTAACTATTTGATGTTTAAAGAACTTAAAATATTAAAACAGCCACTTTACTTACTTTTTATTAAAACTGATTATTATGTTATACAGTGTAGTAGATATGTTTTCTTATGGCAGAAGTTTTTCTCCTTTGCACTCTGTGTCTTGCACACCCAACTCTCTCTTCTCTATTCAGTTTGAAGAGTGGGCAAACATCAAAAATTTGCAACACTATTCCTCCTACAGCTTTCGAGCTAGAACCATAAAACTTTGCAGCCTATACCTGAAAAGGTTGCGTGTGCTTTATAAAAGGTGCAGTGTGTAAGATTTAGTCTAGCAGTGAGGTTGCAGATTGCAATCAACTGAATACTCCTCCTTCACCCCTCCCTTTCCAAGTGTGTAGTAGAACCTACAGTGTGATGTTTTCACCTCTTTGATGACAAGCGTTCCCTCTCCCTTGCTTTTTCTCATACAAACTAATCACAGTCATAATAATAATAAAGTCCATCCTCAATTTGTCAAAATTTTGGGTTCTCAAATAAATAGGTTCTTGATTTGTTAGAATGGAATATTTACTTATTTCCTTATTTGAATGGCATGGCACAAGCTGTTGTTAATAGTGAACAGGAAAAGGGTGAGAAGGCCATTCAAAGTTCAGGCCTGATCTCTCCTCAGTATTTAGGACAGGATGTTTTCCTCTCCAGACCAAATGTGGTTTATGTTGGTAGTTGAATGCACATTAACGGTTCTTTATTTCTCCTCATTCTCTGAAACCCACATGTACTCACCCAAGAAATCACAAACATTCTGGCCCAAAACAAACGAAATTAAGTCAGTTTGAAATAGAGAAAAATATCAGTCTGACTTACTTCTTCTCTTGAGCCTTGTTGAGAAAGTGCACAACTATCGCCTTTATGACCATAACTATAATGATCAAACCGATTAGGCCCCCAAGCACGGACACAATGATGATAGTCAGTGTGTTGTCCACTTCCTTCACTGATCACAAAGGAGAGGGAGAGAAGAGGTTTACTGAATAATGTTTTATAGGCTATATTTTGTTTCAATAGATAAAATCAATTTTTTCAACTGGACATTTGATAAAGCTTGAGCTAGGATGACCAGATCTAGACTGTTCAGTCGGAGTAAAGCAAAACTTTTTTTTTTTTGGTGAGATGAGGCAGGGGTGTTAGTTATTAGCTGTGACCCACAGTACATTCTTTTTATAAGGAATATTAACCTTCAGCACTACAATCTCATTGCAATAGCCTACAACAAATCTTAAGTAGGAAAAGAAGTGATATAAACAAACTGCTTACAGTTTCACATTAAATAGTGGCTACTAAGACTCTAAGACTGATATTTTGTTACATTGTTAAATTTTGTTACTAATATTTCGTTATATTTCCAACCTTTCGGCCAGTTTATTAACAATTTGTATAAACATTACATTGTTTTGTTTATCCTAGATGTGACTTTCAATTTTCAGGATTATTCCACTAAATGTTGGGATGGGTGGTCATCCTAACTTCAGCTTGTGACACAGTTCTTGAACAATCATCATGCACAGAGTAGTTTAGGCTAGGCTTAAAGGAATAGCTTGATCATGTTAAAAAGGAATAGAAGTTTCACTAACATTTGTTTTGCCACTAGTTGCAGTTGATTCCACACTTGGTTTTTGATCAAAATATTCTGTTAATTCTCATTTCACAATCAGGTTTCAAGAGTGTAGACAGAGGACTCACACTGATCCACTACAATGAGGGTGAACACAGCACTATGGTTTCGGTCCTTCTCTTTGGGGTTGCGGGCAAAGCAGGTATACTCGCCCTCATCCTCAAAGGTGACGTTCCACAGCAGGACGGAGATATTACTGTCCTTACTGGAGCCCACAAACTCCAGCCGCTCATGGTAGATCTTCACATGGGGCTCCACACCTTCAGCTGGAATCACTGCTTCACAAAGCTGAGGAGAGAAATGCCTTACTAATATATGGAAAAGCATCATGAATTGCCATTTGGTTTGATTTTTTGTTCATAAAATCTGAACACAAAGGATGTTCTCAGTTAAAGATTACATTTGAGAGCAACCTTTATTTCATCCATTGGATACTTTCTTTGACCATATCTGTTCATAAGAAATAAAAGTAATACATTTTATTTATGTGACTTTTTTCAAACCCAGGGTTCCGTGCCATTATAAAACATGATATGAAAGACCACCTGAACACTAAATGGCAAAGCTAGTTTATATATACTTTTGATCTTAGAGCAATGGTCTCAGTTATAAGCCTTATGTGTACCTAAAAATACATTTTCTGTCTTAATTTCATTATTCACTATTTAAATAATAGCTTCAGTGTAATATGAGTGACACTATGAGGGTGGTCCGACCCAAAAAGTGTGAAAATGATGAATATTTTACCTTCACCATTGTGCCATTGTCATTGTAATGCCAGTTGAAGTACAGGTTCTTGATGCCAATGCAGCTAGAGTAGGTGCAGGGTAAAAGCACAGAGCTACCATTCATCACCTCAACAAAGTGAACTTTTCCCACTGACACCTCTAAGGCCTGAGTACACCATACTCCTGAGAGAGAGAGAGAGAGAGAGAGAGAGAGAAATTAGATATAGTAATTGTATAGTGAGGTCAGTACTCTATACAGTACATATACAGTAATTGCTCTGATTGTATAAAATAAAAGCTGATTTGAAAGCATGTCCTGCAGCTAGTGCTGAGTCATAGTGCAACCTCACTGTGCAATTAAAATCTATTGGCATCATAAACTTCAAAAAGGTACTCTTAGTCTCAAGGTGCAATGAAAAACATTCTAGCAGTAACAAAGCACACAATACAACAAATACTGTATAGCAGCACAGCCCAATGGGTCCATGTGCCAAAGTAGACCTGTAAGGACATTCAATTTGGCAAACCAGAAACTTGCCCCACACCACTTATACAAGAGAATAAACACATAATTATATATAACTCTTCAAATTATTTTAAATTTTGTTGAGGTATTGTAGTATAGTATAATGTTATAAAATATATATATATATATATAAAACTTGGTTTGTAACCTATGTACCTTCTTTATTTGTTTTGTCTTTTTGGCTCTCAGCCCACCACAAGCATTGCACTCTGGCCCACCACAACAAAAAGTTTGGGCCCCCCTGCTTTATAATATCTATAGTATAAACATAGTGTTCAGTACTGTGTAAAAGTCTCAGACAGCCATGAAAAAGGGGGTACCCAGCCAATGTAAACATCTGTTAAAGGGTAATTCCACTGAATTCCACAAATGTTTAAATAACTAAATCAACCGGATGTAAACAAAGTCATTCAAAGCCGTTTTAAGTGAAATGTTTAGTTGTAGAGAAACTTACTAGCTTTTCTTTACATGGGTGGTGATAGAAAGCAGCAGGAGTCACAATGTGTAGCACACAAATCTAGCCATTTCATGCATTGTCCAGAACCACCAGCGAACCTCAGGCTTCTGAGTTTTGTATGTAATATTGATAATAGGAAATTTAGGTGCGTATGAAAAAAAGAACTTTTCTTTGCGGGCTATTCTGCCTTATAACACCCTGCAGGACGTGCAACTTTTCCATGAATGGATTTAAAAATGTATGTTTTAGGCCAAAATCTTATCATAAAACTATCATAAAAGAATGTCTCAGATTCATAAACATTTCATGCAAAAAACATTCTGTGAGTGAACTTTTAAAGGTATTAAACTCTTCAGAGGCCACCACTGTGAACAATTCTGACTTGGTAAATTTTTCTACAATTGAGAATTTCACACCAAACCACAGCAAATTACTTTGTTTACAAATAACCATTTTATTATGCAGACTTTTTGAAATATCAGTGAAATTCCCCAGCACACCTTATTTGATTTGATGAAGGATTAATAGGCTGAATGAATTAACTGTGAATAGTGGGCTCAAACAGAGGTTTGACAATGGTTAAGCTAACACAGTGACTCACCCTCATAGTGCCACTGGGCAAGGACAATTTGTCTACAGTGACCAGCATGCGTGACACTAGCTGTCATTACACAGTGTCATATCATCTACTATTTTAACAGCTGTGCAGTTAAATGACTGTCATTCTTACAAGAGCTTTGTAGATGCCAGCATGCTGTGCGTGTGCCAGTTTGACAGAGACGTGTAGACAGGCTTGTTCAGTAAACTGTCCAACAAGCAAACTTCAGTCATTGATACAGAGCAATATCACATGAGAACATGAGTAAGACTGTGTGGCAGAGAAAACAAGCAAACAGAAAGTAATAACTTTTCACACCAAACATGGGACGTGTAGATAAAATGTGAGGCAAAGAAAGATACAGAGATGGAAAGAGAGAGGGAGAGGGCAAATAGGTATTGGGGCGGGGCTGGGGGGTGACTCGCACTCTGGTATTCTCAGCATGTGGTTTAGCGTCAGCCCTAAGAGGTCTGTGCTCAGCGGCTATTTTTAAACCCCTGCAGCCCCATCTCAATATTTCATTGCTTGGAAAGATACTATTTTGCCATGTGTGTGTATAAGGGAGTGTGGGTGTACCTGAGTACATGTTTGGGTAGGGGGTTAGCATGGAGTCAAGGGAGCATGGAGTAAACAGAGCACAGTCAATAAATGAAATGAATAAAGGCCAAGTGAACCCAGGCAGTTAGCTGATTTCACTGCATGGTCCAATGCAACAAAACATTTGGCAGATTATCCAGTCCAATCCACTAAGCATAACCACACTATCAAGCATATTGCTGTTTTCCAAAAAACAACACAATAATACTTCCTATGAAAGACTATTTGTATCTGAAAAACTATACACACCGATCAGGTATAAGATTAAAAACAACTTCTTGTTTCTACACTCATTGTCTATTTTATCAGCCCCCCTCACCATACATGTGCGCTTTGTAGTTCTACAGTTCCAGACAGTAGTCTGTTTGTTGCTCTGCATACTTTGTTAGACCCCTTTTACCCTTTTCTTCAATGGTCAGGACCTCCACAGGACCACCACAGAGCAGGTATTATTTGACATGGTGGTCCTTTTCTCCAATGGTCACAAACGCCACAGAGCAGGTATTATTTGAAATGGTGGTGGTGTGTTAGCGTGTGTTGCGCTGGTAAGAGTGGATCAGACACACCAGTGCTGCTGGAGTTTTTAAACAAAGTGTCCCCTTACTATCCACTCTATTAGACACACCTACCTTGTTGGTCCAAATTGTAGATGTAAAGTCAGAGACAATAGCTCATCTGTTGCTGCAAAATTTGTGTGGGTCATCCTCTAATCCACCAATGGTCACATTATGCTGCCCAAAGGATGGCTGGATATTTTTGGTTGGTGGACTATTTTCAGTTCAGCAGTGTCTTATTTATATTTATTTATATTCTCATTCATTTGGTGGTCCTCAATTAGAAGGAACAAGAAAAGGAAATAAAATTAGCAAGTTTTTAATATTATGTATTCAATTCTTTTTATATAGCAGTATGAATAAGTTAACCTTAGTAAGTTACGATGTACATTCGTTAAATCATCCTATAAAAAGAGAAGAAAAAAACAGCTGTGAGACACACACTGCTCCATAGCAATGCTTTAGGAAACTTAACAGAAAATTAGCATAAAAAAGTTGTGGCAGTCTTAGTAAATAGAAGTTTGTGTTTTGTCCTGGAAAATGGTTTATAGACACAAACGGCTGACACGTTTTAATGGTTGGATGTATAGGCCATGTGGAGGTGCCAATTTTGAGTATTTATGCTTCTAATGAAGATGACCCAGCTTTTTTTTACAGAAACTGCAACAGTTGTAGCTGATAAGGGATCATTAGGGGAAGATTTTAATTGTGTGACAGTTACTCCCAAATTAATTACTTCTGCATCTCCAAACAAGATAGTTACAGGGGGTTGCCATATTGAGCCTATTATACGTTCAGATCATGGACCAATAATTGTGGGATACCGAAAAGTATTTTAAATATTGGAGGTTTCTCTGTTAACTAATCCTGAGATAGTACACAATGGACAAGACACATTGAGTTTAATGACAATAAAGAAGTGTCTCCATCTATTTTATGGGAAGGGACTAAAGCAGTATTAAAGACCCCCTCCAGTGAAAATCAAGTTTTCAAACTTGTTAGCATGTTTATGGGGTATCTTTTATATGCTGGAAGACACAACATGAGCAAAATAAGTAGTCAATGCCATGGCTGAGTATTTTCACTTTGAAACTGCAGCGCACCAGTGACAGTCTCAAAAACGCGTATTCAGACAGCCAGGGTTTCATACGTCACAAACCTAAAGAACCAATCCTGTCCACTGGCAGGGTGGGGCTTTCCATGTCATTAGCATAATAATAAGGTGCAACAAAGTGCATTAGAGTCAGATGTAGCTAGCTTTGTTTAGTATTTTGCAAGGTTTCACATTTTTTACAAAACGATGGCAGAGAGGTGTTCTGTTTTCAGATGCAAAGTTAAAAACAAAAAAAGTTGCCACTAAACTTATATTGAAGCTAGACACTGTTCCTTCCACTTACACTGGAGACACAGCGAGACAAGACAACTGGTAAGTTTACTTTTCTTGTGTTTTATCCGTTGACTGTGTACAACAAATTTACAAAGCTGAAGTCAGCTTCTTATATGAGGGCTTCTCATTTGAATTTTCATGTTCCACCTTAAATGGTGCGGCAGTTACAGTAAAATTCAAACAAGGCCTGAAGTGCAAAAATGTAACTGCCATTTACCCCAATTAATGTCGAACAGGAAAATTCAAACAAGAACCTGATGAATAAGATAATAACAAATCTGCAATGTGCCAGATAAAGTTAGACTTACAAGGTACATGATGATTCATGTCAAATACTAACAGGACACTCTATATGACTTGAGGATGTTGACAAAGAAAGTTAGGGCAAATGTTACTCAAAAAAATTGTCAGATAGCTAACCTTGCTGAATTAAACGATGGCTGTATTCATTACAATATTCATTATGATAATTTTGACCTAAAACGACTTTGGGGTTGTTCACACAGAGAGTGTGTCATTGTTAAGGTTGTCCTCATAAGTTGCTACTATAGTGTTAGAAAGATAAGGTTAGCTAATTCAAGTATATATGGAATGTGGAGAAAGCTACATTCAGGCAGAAAACCCTGAATGCAAACTTCTATTTGCATATTCACAGATCCGTGCATACGTAATAAAGGCAAAGGTGTAGAGTTACATCTAAGCAACTTTTAAGGCATTGGGGGATTATTTTTTAGTAAGTAACTTCAATGAATGTATTTAGGGGTTTCATTGATGCCTGAAGAGGGTCTTTAATTGGAAAAATACTAGAACTTACCTCAAATTTGAAAAAGGGCGCAGAAAAAAACAGGAAGAGCTAGAGGACCAGATACAGAGATTAGAGCAGGAAAACAAAAAACAAATATTTAAACCACTGATGCGACCTCAATGAGTTATTGACTTATAAAGCAGAAGGAGCCATATGATTCTTTAATCAAAGATATTATGAGATGGGGAACAAGGCAAATCTTTTGTTAGCTTTCCAGTTACAAAAAGTGCAAGCAAGCCGTGCTATGTCTAATGCGTCA